TCGTGTGGATTAACATCGGGATTTTCAGTGTTTACAAAATTATCATTTTTGTTAATTCTGTACAACCATACAATATCGCTATTCCTCATTTAGTTATCTGCATTTAGGATTCTCGTAATATATGTTTTCCCAACCTGTAGTGAAAGGGTGATTTGGAAGATTAAAATGTAATTATTATCTCCGATCGCCTTCTTATTTATAAATACAAATATAAACATAAAATGTATCCATATCATAGTTCAAGGCAATTTAATCGTCTGTTATATACTACCTTTGCTCGACCAGTTGAGATGCAAGACGTATATGCAGTTTTCGTAGAGCTGGGAGTCAATAATGTCATAAATGACATACGACGCAATAAGCATATTGTTTATTACTTGAAAACCTGTAAAATATATTTGTACTTATCAAGCTTCAAAGAGTTAGAATAGATTTATATAGCTCATTCAAGTCGTCTGTCTTTTGGTTTTTTTTGTCGTAAATATTGCGCGAACATATAGGAAATAAAAACAAGTATGTCACAAACTGTTTTAATATCACAAATAGACATTTTTATTCAACTTTGCCGGGCTTTTAATTTCTTGGGGAAAACGTCATTCCCAAATAATTTGTTCTCGATACGCTCGACAAGATTGCATCAGGCCTCTGTATTCAGGGTAAGGTGGTCCATCTTATTTGTCGGAACAAAGTAAATACAGATTCAGGGGCCCCAAAGAGATTTATAAAATGTCCGAAGGGGGGGGGGGGTCGCGCGTGGAAAGGGGTTAAGAATCATTGAATTATGATCTTTATCTATACAGGTAAAATAATATATTGATCATCAGACACTTCGACAAATCTAAACAGATTCCAATAAACATGTAATATTATACGGTCATTGCTTGTCAAGTCGGTCAGTCTTCAGAAAGTTGGGAAATCGACCCCCCGAAAATCTGGAAAAAAAATATGTTATTGTACATGTAAAAACTAGAAACTGTGGTCTGTAGCTTGAAAATTGATTGAGATACTGGCATTTGAGTTTTAAGAATTACTGATAAGTTTTCGAAACACTATATGTATCAATAATTTACTAGAGTTTCAGATATCTTGTTTTTACCTTTCTACTGAAGATATAGGGCTCACGTTTGGTAGTCTTAAAGAACGTTTTGTGTAGATTATGAATCGGCAATCATGGCCATGAAAAACGAAAAACATGTGGTATAATTGTATATTTCTGGATTTTGTAGTGCTTCGGGAGCTACAAAGTAATAGATACAGACAAAAGTTTTGGCCGATCTAGAGATTGTCAGTAGTAGTACATAAGAAACATATGAAAACGCATCAGTCTTCACTAGATTCCCAGAAAATTGGCCTCGAATATGGTTTCAGACACAAATTTTCGAAAATTGCCTCATATTTTCGAGCCGATTGAACCCGGTATATGAGCACCTAAAAATTGGCAATACTATATACCGGAAAACCTTCTAGTCCCATACCATCTCGATATTTTTTCGATTTTGTCCAAATCTGTGTTTTGGGTCATTCTATATCAATTATCATCCAGTGAGTTAAACCGTGCCCCTTCGATTTTGCTGATATTCCAAATCTTAGCTTGATCCGACTAACGGTTCCTTACGGTCCACCCAATTTGGGGGATTTCGGCCAAAATGGGCGTGACCACCATTATTCAAATGGCCATAACCCAGTAACCGAGGGGGTCAAAATTGCTAGAATAAGTATTGCTGGAAAAGCGAGAAGCTTGGTGTTTGAATCATATTTATCTATCTTTAGGAAAGTCGGCAGCAGGTTACTATGTATCCTGCTTTAAGTGTAAAGACACTGATTTTCAGCCTCAGGTGTGAATATTTAAGTTGATTTTACATGCTTATAAAAGCTGTTATGTCTCCAGTTGTTTGACATTGTGTGGTAAACATGTTGGGCTAAATGTTTCATGAAACTACATCTCAAGGTCACATGGTCTACAAGGTCAAATTCTAAAGGTCTTCACTCTTTAAAACACACGTACACCTATGTAAAAATATAAGTGCAGATTTATAATCCTTGTGGAATTCCCATTATACAAAATATGTATCCAATATACGATTAAGTTGCGAGCACATAAAAGAACCCTTGACAGTTGAAATTCGAAGTAAAAGAGTAGACCGTAGCGCTGCTTCAAATAGATCTCTTCATTAGGGAGAGTGGGAATCCATTAATCCATTCGTGCGCGCAACTAATTACATGACGAGGCATTTGGCTACCTTAAGAGAGTCCTAGTTACTGTGGAGTTTTTACCATTTCCATATTCAAACATCTATTCCCAGTCTCCTTATCTTTCTGACTGTTTCACCAAAAGAGGGGAGTCGGGGAGACGCAGTGAGCAAGACGTTTACTCGCTAATTTAAAGGTCCCGTGTTCGACCCCGGTGTTCATTGGGATTTTCCGGCGTGACTCACCCCTGTCAGTGGTGCAGGACCCAGGGCCTGACCAGTTCCAACGTATAGTCATCCCGTGTACACATTGGCGTTCATATAAAATATTCCTTCGCTGTTGGAATTCGATATAAGAGTAGACCATACTTCTGGCATATCTCTGATTTAATTAGCCCATTCGGTGCAGAACAGTAGAACATTAAACCCCGTTTCATTTCATTTCATTTCACCAAAAGAGTTTCACAAGAACACATTATTACGTGCAATTTTGACAGCAGAATCACCCGGGAAGTAAATATTTTGGAAAAACGTGTCGCGGTATGACAAGTAGGTATTTATTTTAATTTTTTGGCCATTTACATAAATTTTTGAATTTCAAATTGGTATCCTGTTTGCTCCTATTTTACTGAATTTATATTTCAAAAGTAACCGTGTCGGTTCATCTCAATGACAATCTGATTAAAACACAAATCATGTTTCGTTTCGTTTTTTATAGTTCAAAATTTCGTTTTACTTGTCTTTGCTACACTAGGATCTGGAAGAGTTGTTATCATTGACGTGTTCTTAATGGTGTGAGGGATTAGCCAATGAAACGGTCTGTTACGGCGAGCTTTGGGCGTGTTTGCACGGAACTGTGGGTAATCCATTAGTAACATCAATGCTGATTGCTTAATCAAATGTCTGACGTCATAGGTCAAAAGCAGTTCTTATGACCTCTGACGCGACCTATCGCTACAACCGGTCAGATCTTCGTGTAGTGTAGACCATCGAAAGTAATAGAAAAACAAAACGAAATATAGATCTCAATGCAGACAATACATTAAAAAGCGTATAGCTCAATTCTTTGGAATCTTAAAATATACGAAAATGGCTCTAAAAACACATATCAATGTGATATGAATGCATATTAAGTGATTTATATTCAATTTTTAAGTTTTCTATTTTAATTTCTAATCAATTATGTTCGGTGAAATACGTGAACAGTCCAAATTGAATGGCAGTCGTTCATTTTAATTTTTTTCTTCCATTTACATAAATTATTGAATTTCAAATTTATGACAAGTTTGCTCCTATTTTAGTTTTGAAAATGTATTTTAAACATAGCTGTAAGGGTTTTCTGTGTACGAAGATATATTTTGACAGTTTCATCTGAAAATTTGATTGTTTGGGGTTTTTTATTATTATTATTTTTTCATTTGCAGTATCTAACATATATTAGAAATTCATAAAAAAACGAATTGTTCGTAAAAAAAAATAATAATTGTGATATACGAAATTCATTTTAAACGGCAGACATATTTTGGTGTTCAGGAACAGGAGATTGTTTTAAAAAGGGCTAACACTGTCAACCTTTATCGACTTAAAATTTCCATTAGATATACTATGAAATATGTCATTAAAAATATAGAAGAAATTCACAAATCCTAATGAAATGGGGTTTAACGTCCTGTTGTTCTGCTCCAATTTGGCTAATGATGACGGGCATATATATATGCAGTACGCTATGGGGGGGGGGGGGAATTTTGCCTGGACAGTGGCGCTACGGTCTAATCTTCTATCGAAAGCCAACTGCCAAAGGATCTTTAACGTGCACGATAATGTGTACATTGGATCTCGGTTTTTCGTCCCATCCGAACGACTAGACAGCTGTCCTTGTCAGGCCTTCCACCTTGCATCACTGACAAGGGGAAACCACTCTGGAAAATCCCGATGAACTTTCTCAGTTTGACCATTCTGAAGGATACGCATCATGTTGATATAAGAAAATAAACATAGGCCTACCATAACAAATACCAACACATAGCATCGATGACATGGAAAAACCTGGCAAGTCATTTTTCGTGATTTTGAGAAAATCACAAAAAAACATTTTAGCATGATTGGATTTCAATCTGATTAAAACACAGATTCTATTTGTTCCGTTTTACTTGTCTTTATTACACTAGGATCTGGAAGGGTGATAAATTAGCCAATGAAGCGGTCTGTTACGGCGACTTCTTGGCGTGCCATGCACGGAATTGTGGGTAAACCGCCAGAAACGTCAACGCTGATTGATTAATCAATATCTGACGTCATAAAGTCAAAAACCGCTCGTAAGACATTTGACATGACCTTCGAGTACAGCTTGTCAGATCTTCATGTAGTGTAAGCCATCAAAAGTATAAAAAAAACGAAACGAAATATAGATCTGTATTTAAATCAGATTGGATTGCATTCTTAGCAGAGATTATAGGTTACAGATAAAGTTGCTGAAATGTATAGTTTTGATGTGTTGTTTGTAAGATATGACTAAATTTAACATGAAATAATGTAAATAATTGGGTATTGTTTGTTCTTGCGGGGTTTCCAATTTCATTATGGACTCAAAATATGCTGATTTATGTGTTTATCCTGCACATAATTACAAATAACTTAACCCAAAGGAATTTATTTCGTATTTAGTGATCATAGAAAACCTCCTGGGTTGTTTTCAAATTGAAATTGTGGATAACTTATATACGATCAAATCTAGCCAATGACATTGACAGGTGGAAAATTAAATACAGAATATAAATATAAAAAAAAATTGTTTTCGATAAGTAGATTTACGAGGTTTGTCCATGTCACCGACGAGATCGGGCTGTTTCTGCATACGTGTTGATTTATTAATTGGGGGTGTGTCTTTTTTTTAAAAAAATGATGAAGGCATTCTGTTTTAATGTGGTATTTGTCTTTGTCATATACATACAAACTATGATAGATATTGCATTTTCTATCAATCGGAAAAAAAAACCAGTTTGAAACGGTTTGCGCTTTTTCAATTTTTTTGTAAATAGTTTCAAACTGGTTTATAAAATCGACTGACTTGAGTTTAAAATTGCTAAAGGTAGTAATGTACCTGAGCCACAAGCGATTCCAAAAACAGTGAAAATAAGATATATAGTATATTCTTTTTTTTTTCATTCCTTTTTTTCCCTCGAATAAAGTTGTGTTGTCCTATAATCTTTTACCTTAGGGTAAAATACTTTTGCTTTACTTGAAGGAGCTATAAAAAATACTGAATTATGTTTATTTTCAATTGTTATTTCGATTGGTGATGAGGAAAAGTCTGCCATGAAAGATTACGCTTACGTTTTCGTTGTGTACATAATTTTAATTCAATTTTTGGCTAACTCAACACTGGTTTTATCTATAGACTCTAAATTTTCAACAAAGACACTTTCAGCTAGTTCCACAAAATAAATCAACATATAAACTTAAATGAAATCGACCTATTTTTTTCTTCTTTTTGTGGGACTCAAATCAAAAACTTTTAATTAGAGTTGTGTATAAAGATCTGGCATAAACTGTTACACAGCCGCCAAGCGAATATTTATATGCGGCTCAGAATCAGCTTGGATACGACTCTTCTCGAGTTAATAAAGGGAGATAACTTCCCAAAGAGTTATTTCCCCGGAAGAGGTTTCTAATGTCTCGCGTAGTCAAACATTCCAGAGGTAAACAAACTAAAACAGCGGAGAAGTTGTAAGTTTGAGAAACTAAATAAACTGGTAGCTATATCTGTTATTTATAATGGCTCATTTGCAGTTAAAAGAAGGAGAATACACGTCTACTGTGTATGGAATGGTAAGTATGGATATGGTAATTGCAAAAAGCTAATCAAGTAAACAAAAAATATTAAATAAATATATTTTACCGGTATCAAATAAATATGTCACGTATAGTCCAAATGAGTAATGCTAATTATTAATTATGTTGTTATGATACTGGATACGTTTCATATTTTCATTAATTAATACTATGTTGTCCATGATTTATCTTAGTTCCTTTAGGAATTGTCCCTGAGCGGATGATGTCCACTGCGTCTACAGTTCCAATAGGCTATAGCTGCAATATATATTATTATAGGCCCTATATGAAAATACCCCACTTCCCCACCTCTGTTCTACTCTGTTCTAATCTGCGGTCTTCCTAAAACTTTGAACAGTGATTTAAGGTACCGGTATTAAAAATGGTGAAAGTATTGTTCGTCTCCAAACAGTATTTTTTACATTGTATCGTGTTTATAGCCTCGTTTGTCACACAATTAGTTTTTCTGCAGTATTCTGCTATGCACAGGTTAATTGGGCATAATATAAAAGTGAGTCATGACGTAACATTATGTAAACATTTAGTCAAATTTGGAGCTGTTTAAAGTGTAATGATATTGTTATGCAGTTAGCTATTGGTTGTTAATCGCACTATTGACCAGTCATAAATTTGGACAGAAATTTGCTTCCTTTACAGCAGTGTTTACTGGGATTGAATATAATCAAACAAAACACTGCGAGGAGTATGAATTTTTGTGGAATTTTTGCTGTAAGAAATGGACATTTATTATATTATATTATTATGAAGATCAAGCACATATCTGTTGACATTGATATTGCCTCCTTAAATTCTTCCAGCTGTCTAGTCCTTCGGATGAGAAGAAAAACCGAGGTCCCATGTATATATTAGAATGCACGTAAAAGATCCTCTGGCAGTTGGAATTCGATATAAGAGTAGGCGATAGTGCCGCTGCCCGTGCAAAATTTCCCTCATAGCACACTGTATGGCGTATGCCCGTCTTCATTAGCCCAGTATAGGAGCAGAACAGTAGGACGTTAAACCCCATTTCATTTCATTTCCTTAAATTCTTTGTCTTATTCTAGTAATTTGTGTAAAACTGTATTAAATCTGCCATACTTTTATATATTTCAGATTAAAGATCAAAGATATAATGAAGCTATTCAGGTTTTAAATCACCAGTTACAAGGACATCCTAAGGTATAACAGTATTTATCCTATTAGATACACATGGCTTTGAAATGTGAATTAAAGCAGTGTAAATAATAAACATTTATTAAACTGTATAAAGATTTATTAAAGGGACAATAACACTCTTGCTGGCTTGAAAGCTCCAGAAAATAAATAATATCTCTATCTAAGTACTAGATGATTAAGTGTCCTACCTGTTGTGTAAATTATCCATTACATCCTATTTTATTTGTCCAGAGGGTTCGAAAATATTTTTAAATCGAAGTTTCATTTGAAAAGGTTTACGTTAGTCGTTTCAAACCAATATGTTGAATTTTTCAAAAATTTTAAATAAGGTGTGTTAAGATGAAATTTGTATCATTAATTAATTGAAATATTCTAAAATAGTACAATTTGTTGACCAGAATAAAGATTGGGACATATTATTCAGTTACAACCAGAGTGGTATTGAGCCTTTAAACTCACTGTATACGGTACTGGAAGATTTATATAAAGAGCTATCTGTTCTTGCTATAAACTTTAATAGTAAGCTTATATGAAAATTGAATATATTATATTTGAAATTAGTCGTTCTGGGTTTGAAGTTCTGGATTGTCAAGTACAATTGTTACAACAATAAAAACAGTCTCGATTATCCATTTTTAAATTAAATTATTAAATGGCGATTGTGTTTGAACCCATTGAAAGTCACTGCCATCCGATGTTCTAGAGAGTTGATTATGGGCTTGTGAAGTGAATAAATGTTAAAGTAATAATTTATATAACATTTGAAGCCAAAAGAAAGACCTGCAATAGGCAGATTTAACTCTATCACAGAAGAGACAACAGTGATGACCATGATGGCCAATGATCTGGATTAAAAAATAAAACCAGACTTGACTAAGCCACTGGCTCACCAGTCAGTCATACCCAGGTTCTATCTTGATTCCAGCTTGCATAGTTTGTGTGCCCGTAAAAGGACCCTGGATAGTAGGAATTTGATGAGGAATAAACAGAAACTACGCTGGCCAGGCAAGATTAACCTCATAACACTGTATGTCATATGTTCGTCTTCATTGTCTCGGTTTGTTCAGAAAAGTAGACGTTTAACCCTATTTCATTTCATGTATTTTAATAAAACTGAAAAGTATAACTCTTAAATTTTCTTTCAGTCCAGACCAGCATTGTCTCTACTAGGTTACTGTTACTTTCAAAGTCAAGATTTTGTAAACGCCTCTGATTGTTATGAACAGTTAACAGTGTTATTCCCTGATAACGAAGACTATCGATTGTATTTTGCTCAATGTCTTTATAAAACCAGCCTGTTTCAAGAAGCTATGAAAGTTGCCTGCCAAATAGATAATCCAGACTACCAAGGAAAGGTAATTACCCACTACTAATTATGGTGTAAGACAATTACAGGTTTTATTCCAATTTTGAAAGCAAGTGGCCTAGTACAGATATTCATGCAGTGTATAATTTGTCTGAATATAGTAGCATTGCAATTTCTATTTCCTGAGAAATTGTTTTTTGATGCTGCTGCCTTGGCAAAATGTTTATCTGCACTGACTGGATACATTTCTAATTGGATGTGAATTAAACAACCATATTTTATTGTCCTCTTAATAGTGTTTATATAGGTGTCTAAACCTAAACATTAGCTAGGCTGCAGGCTGTGTTTAAGCAACCGTTTTCTTATGTATAAGGTATGTTGGGTGGCCGAATGGTTAACACGTGTGTGTGTTGCATCATAAAGTCTTAGTTGATCATTGATTCCCCGCTTGTACGTGACAAGGGGTAGTGTTGCCTGTCCAACCTTGTGGGTTTTCTCTGGGTCCTCCGGTTTCCTGTCACTGCTAAAGACCCCTACATAAGCAGAAATATTGAAATAAAATTATGACCAGGTTTGTGTTGAGTGAACATTAAACCCCATCTCTCTCTGTCTTACGTAAAACTTGTTTTAACAAAATTGTTTTAACTATAAAATAATTTTAAAAATTTGAGTAAAAAATGATGGATAAATCAAAATAGAATGTTGATGACTTGTAAGAGTGACAATAATGATTTTTTTTAGAGTGAAAATGGCGATACTACACCCATATACACCCATCACGTAACAAGAAAACAGGAAATTTTATTTCTTTATTTCTTTTTTTGTTGCCAGTTATAAAAATTTGAAATCAAAATTTTGAATTGAAAATTAAGTTTTGTTAATAATTCCTTTGGCTTTATTTTTTTTTAAGATATATTTTTGTTCATGAATTGTTACATTCTCTTTTAAGATTTGTGTTTTATTTATATTTGCCCTGATTATTCTGACTGCCCTGATTATTCTTACTGCCCTGTGATTTTTCTGACTGCCCTGATTATTTTGACTTTTCTCAATTTTAAAATAATATGGTAGATCATGTATAATATAACAATATATTTAGTTGAGATCATTTCTTTTTAAAATACCACTTTAAAGGAGGCAAGTCTCTAACTCATTATCAATAATATCATCCACAGTCTTCGACATTGCAAACACGACTTATTGGTCAATTTAAATCAACATTGATGTTGTTATCCTAATGTGCAATGATGGGCTTCTGATATCCAGTATGTTAAGACAAAATGAAATTTTGAATATTGGCACACAAATTCCATGCCAAAATGATTTCAAGTGCCATTTGTAATGAAGTGACTTGATGAACAAAACCAAACATACCCGATAGGAGAATACTACCGGTGTAGACTGGAATAACCAAGCGCCAAAGACTGCTATTGAATTTAGGCTCTTTGCATATTTCACCGAACATAACTGATTAGAAATTACAGTAGGAACAGAAACAATTGAATGTAAATCAGTTTCTATACATCCATAGTACATATTATATGCATTGTGAACCATTTGTGTCCATTTCTAGGTGCCCAAAAATAGGGATATAGCTCCTTTAATAAAGACCTCACCAGTAGCTAACTTTACACACTACTCATTGAATAGCAAAATAAAAGTAATATGTTTGATGGCAGTTGATTAAGTTTAAGTCTCACAACCTTTGGTCCATTAGATTAACTTGAGGAGACAGGCTGTCAGTGACCTGTGACACCCTCTTATCTTTGCCCTGTGGGCACCCCATGGGTGTTTTTTCAGGGAATCTAGTATTTTTCTAGTAAGATTGGGTGTCTTTTCTTTCCATATATACCCAAAATGCCATACTTTTATTTGAAAAACGTGACAAGGAGTAGGGTTGCCTGTCCAACCTTATGGGTTTTCTCCGGGTCCTACGGTTTCCTCCCACTGCTAAAGACTCCTACATGCAATCGAAGTATTAAAATAAAATTGAACCATATGTTAGTCCCAAAATGATCTAGTTTGTGTCGTGTGGATGTTAATTAAACCCCATTTCTCTCTCTCTCTCTCTTTATTTGAAAAAAACTATCCTATAAATATTTTTGTTTGAATGTGTTTTTAAGTTAATCAGTGTATTTGTTGTTTATTTATGAACAGATAACCAAGTTACAGTCAGCTATTAAATATGGTGAAGAAGATCTTCCAGCAGCTAAGGTAATTAAACATGATAAAACTGACTGAAAGTTGATTGGACTCCTGCTTCAGTCATATTTCCCAGTTTTGACTATTGTTTCAGTCATATTTCCCAGTTTTGACTATTGTTTCAGTCATATTTCCCAGTACTGAGTGACTGGCAGTGAAATTGGCCAGCTAAAGAACTTAAAGCCTGCGTTTTCTGGCTTTATTTTTGCTGGTTACATAGAAACGGTCCAATTACATTTGCATTAGACCGACTTTCCACTGGCTTGTTAATCTCTAAGGTGCGTCAATGTTGTCTAAGATGATGTCATTATAAAAAGTGGGAGGAGCTACAGATCTCTGACGGAAAGGTCAAGTATATTGAGCTTATCACACAAATTTATTCAATAAATGTTTGTGGGTTTTTTTATGGGTTTATATATAGAGTTTAATTAGGGAATGGATCTGAATGGCGATAGTTTGATAGTTTGACGTCATGAAAATTATATGCATATCAATCACTGAAAACGACATGGATAGATGATAAAGCATCACTCAGTACACTTAATTATAATCACTATGAATACTGTCCATATCTATAACATAACCAATGTCGTGTAGACAACTCAACCAATGTATTTCAATATTTGTCAACATCTTGACTAGACTTTTGGTGTGGACGAGTTTACGAGTTAACATGCATCCAATAATAGCACATGTTGCTATACAAGGATATGTTGTAATACAAGGGCATGTTGTTATACAAACACATGATGTAATACAAGGAAATGTTGTAATTCAAGCACATGTTGTAATACAAGCACACATTGTAATATTAGCACATATATTGTAATACAAGCACCTGATGTAATACAAGGACATGTTTCAAAATAATAAAAACATGTAATGACAAAAGAAAAAAAGCACTTTTGTAGGAGTTGACATGAATGACAGATGATATTGATATGTTTCAAAATAATAAAAACATGTAATGACAAAAGAAAAAAGCACTTTTGTAGGAGTTGACATGAATGACGGATGATATTGATATGTCAAATTGAATGATTTAACTACATGTTTTTCAAAATGAAATATTAGTATTTATTTTTTTTCAGAGTTTAGTAGAACAATGTCCGCAGGATGACCCAGATACAGAAATCAACTTTGGCTGTCTTTTATTCAAGGTAACTTTTATACCTAATACAGATCCTGTTTTCGATTTTTATATTGATTCAAAATTGTTAAATAACCCACGTTCTTGGTGATCTGAGGGATCAACCAATCAAATGAACAGTTTAGTTTTTATCTGTTGGTAGATATTCGCAGTGATAGAGCACAAAATAAAACAAAAGTTGTATTTCCGAAGAGCCGCTTGAACACCAACACTGCTTGTTTACCGAATAACTGGCATTATAAGGTCAAAAGTCACTCCCATGACCTCTGACCTGAACTCCCACGAGAAAGAGTCAGATCTTAATGTAGTGGAGGCCATAGAAATTCATTTTAATCAGGCTGCTTTTATACTATCTGATCTATTTTAATTACTATATGTATATTGAGGGGGGCTGGATGGCTGAATGGTTAGCGTGCGCGCGCTGTATCATAAAGTCGGTCATTGAGTCGACTGGCGTGGTTTCGAATCCCCAGTTGTACGTGACAAGGAGTAGGGTCGCCTGTCCAACCTCGTGGGTTTTCTCCGGTCCTCCGGTTTCCTCCCACTGCTAAAGACCCCTACGCGCAAGCGAATTATTGAAATAAAATTAAACCATATGTTAGTCCCGAAATGACCTAGTTTGTGTGGAGTGGAGGTTAAACCTCATTTCTCTCTCTCTCTCTCTCTCTCTCTCTCTCTCTCTCTCTCTCTCTCTCTCTCTCTCTCTCTCTTGTTTTAATTCTACCCAATGATCAGTATATAAATATGAAATATTTGGTTATTATCCCACACTGAATGAAGTAAAGGAAGGGATATTGAAATGGTCTCCCAAGGTCCCAGTTTTGTTTCCATAGCATATCTCATAAACAATTCAAGATATCTTTATAAATCTTTGAGGAGCCACAGTGGCTGAGTGAGTAAGACGTTGGCTTGGTAACCTAGAGGTCCTTTGTTTGCTCCAAGTGTTGACTGAGAAAGTTCATCAGGATTTTTCGACACAGTTCCCCCTTTTCAGTGGTGCAGATCAGATGGCCTGGCCAGGGACACTATATAGTCGTTCGGATGGGAGGAAAACTGAGGTCCAGTGTACACATTGGCACGTAAAAGAACCATTGGCAGATGAAATTTGATATGAGTAGGCTGTAGCGCCACTGTCTGGGCAAGATTTCCCATATAGCACACTGTATGTCGTGTGCCGGTCTATATTAGCCCAGTCAGAGTAGGACGTTAAACCTGTTTAATTTCTTTATGAACGTGTATACGCCTATTATAGATAAAAGCGAGAGAACCGTCGTCGAAACGTCACCAGAAATAACTTGTATTCCATGTAATTGTGTCGTGTGTTAACATATTATTGTAGTTGTAGCCTTTGCTAATTAGGAGTTTCTTGGATTTAATCATTTTTGTGTTTCAATGGAAACAAATTTAACTAAGTTTTTTAAATTTGTGACATTTATTGTATTTTTATAAAGGAAGAGAGATATGAAGAAGCATGCCAGAAATTTACTACCGCTATACAGATTCTAGGTTATCAACCCCATCTGTCATATAATATAGCTTTATGTCATTATCAACTAAAACAATATGCTCCAGCGTTAAAACATATAGCTGATATTATAGAGAGGGGTATTCGTGAACATCCAGGTAATTACTACTTTATGTCATTATCAATTGCTCCAGCGGTTAGTACTAAATAAAAAGGCCAGCTCAATTTTAATGAAAGGTCACGAGATGTAAACAGGCTAATCCCAACCCTAGCCCCAATGCTTACCCTAAACCTAACCTACAATCTTGCCAGTAATCACATGCCCTAACCTTATTTACATCCCAGCGACCTTAACAAAAATTGACCGGGCCTTAACAAATAGATTTAGCCATGCTCCAGCATCTCCAAAAAGAGAGAGATAATCCTTGAAATATGATTTATATACCGTTTATGGTACTGGTACTGCTCCGAAAGTAACTAGGGTCAACCTGTCTCCACGCTGTTACACTGTGAAGTTCTTAGTCAGTTTTTAACATCTATCACAATAACAGTCGTGAACATTCTGGCATGAGAACAGATCATAATATAGTCTTCATTACTGAATTCTTTAGACCATTCACCCACCAAACCCTCTTAGTAGATTCAGAAAACGTTTAACGCATTTTACTTACCACATGCTTTGTTGCTGGATATTCTTTTATTTGATATTACTGTTGGTTGACTTCTAGAGCAACCAGTTGAGTACCCTATGTATCAATCACGTTTGTTTTTAGCTTGTGGACGCTAGAGGTCACAGTTTTTATCCAATTTTGATGAAGCTTGTTCTCTGTCCACCTTATTCAAAATGTGGCTATATCTTGCTTGTCAACAGCTTGTTATTCATATTAATAATGTATATGTGTATATTTGTAGAGTTAAGTGTTGGTATGACAACAGAAGGTATAGATGTTCGTAGTGTAGGTAATACTTTAACTCTACATGAAACAGCTCTAATAGAAGCCTTTAATCTTAAAGCTGCTATAGAATATCAGTTGAAAAATGGTAAGTACTGAGACCAAATTAAAAAATTGGCAGTTAGAATTTGAAAAAGTAAATGTCTGGAAAACGCACTGCAAAGTAAAAACAGAAAAAAAAGAACGAATCCGTTGGGTCTAGAGTTTTACGTTGACAGAAAATTAAATGTATCCCTGGATATCTTTATGGCTCTGATCAGCATTTGAGTGATTTTATATCCTTTTCAAATTACAATATGGTGAAAAATGAATAGCAGTCCAAAGATGGTTGAATTCCGATTAATAATTACAAAGATGAATCACTAAACATTAAGCATCTACTGCTGTCGATATAAACAAACCAGCGCCACCAATAACTGCTGGGTAAATTCTTTTAATCTGGGGGTGGGGGATGGATGGTCATGTGTTTTAAAGCGTACATCTTTTTGTGTGCATGTCACTTGCTTAAATTATATTTCTTATGAACCATCTTATATCAAACGTACAAGCTGCTGTATTGTGGTGAACTTGATCAATGATGCAAAGACTAGTATGTAAACTGGTTTTTGATTGGTTCATAGAATCAACCTACATGGCTAATGAAATCATCAAGGGCAGATAATTTGAATTTGTGTAAACCCTGTGAATGTACCCAGGGGTTAGTGGGGTAGAACAGAACGATTCCATTGGGAATACCATGTATGGATCAGAACAAGCAACTTTAATATCCATGATGACCAGAATTTGCATTGACTGAATTTAAATGTCACCATCAGTATATGTAGACTATGTTGTTTATTGTAGTTGATGCAGCTTGTGAAGCTTTAACAGATATGCCACCAAGAGGTGAAGAAGAACTTGATGCTGTTACACTACACAATCAAGCCTTAATGAACATGGAAGCTAAACCTACACAAGGCTTCCAAAAATTACAGTTTCTTCTCCAACAAAATCCATTCCCATTGGAAACATTTGGAAATCTCTTGCTTCTGTATATTAAATATGAGGTTAGTTATTGTGAATATTTTTCGGGATCTGTATAATAACAAGGTTAGTTATTGTGAATATATTTGGGGATCTGTATAATAACAAGGTTAATTATTGTGAATATATTTGGGGATCTGTATAGTTACTAGGTTAGTTATTGTGAATATAATTGGGTATCTTTAGAGATATAAGGTTAGTTATTGTGAATGTATTTGGAGATCTGTATATTTACGAAGTTTGTTATTGTGAATATATTTGGGGATCTGTACATGTAGAGTTATCTGTATTTTGTTTTATCAGATATTAATGATTAGAAATTAATATATTATTTTCATGTGGCCTTGAGAAATGGCAGTATAAAAAGAAAAACTGTGAATTCTAAAATTAAAATTTAATGATACTGTTTGAATTATTGTAAATATTTTATCTAATATTTCAGTACTATGATTTAGCAGCAGATGTTTTAGCTGAAAATGCTCACATGACCTACAAATATCTGACACCGGTATGTATAGTTTCGGTAATTCTCTGTTAATAATTATAATTAGTTTAGAATTAAGTGTAGGGAGTTGAACATCAATTGCCTTTTAATATATAATTGTTCAAGGCTAAAAATGTATTTAATTTAGAAAAATAAATCAAAGTATCACTGGTAGATAATCTCCAAGGCTTTGAGGAGCCACTGTGGTTAAGTTGGTAAGACGTTGGCTCACTATCGTGAAGGATCGCAGATTCGCTCCCCAGTGTTGGCTGTGAAACTTCATCAAAATTTTCCGGCCTGGTTTCCCCTTGTCAGTGGTGCTGACAGGTGACCAGGACAGTTGTCTAGTCATGCGGATGGGACGAAAAATCGACGTGTCGTGTACACATTGGAGTGCTCGTAAAGGATCCCTTGGCAGTTGGAATTCGATATAAGAGTAGGTTGTAGCGCTGCTGTCTTGGCAAAATTTCCCTTATAGCACACAGTATGGCATATGCCCGTCTTCATTATCCCAGTCGGTGTACATCAGTAGGATGTTAAACCCTATTTCATTTCATTTCCATGGCTTTGATTCAAAAGAATTAATGAGAAACCCGTCAAACAATTTAATACAATATCATCTGGAGAGAATGTTGAATGTTTGTAAATTTTCGATTCGTCATGTCGTTGTAAACACTTAACGGAATAGAATCTGTTTTAGAATAATAAACTATAACACATACTTATGGAAAAAAGCTACTGATTTATTTAAACAGCGTTTCAAACAGTATTCTCTCAACGTTATCAAAATCTTATCAAGCTCGATAATGTTAAGATAATACTCTTAGAAATGTCGCCTAAATAACTCAGTAGCTGTTTTTCCGTAAGTATTTGTTATAGTTTATTGAGAGAGAGAGAGAGAGAGAGAAATGGGGTTTAATGTCCACTCGACACAAACTAGGTCATTTCGGGACTAACACATGGTTGAATTTTATTTCAATAATTCGCTTGCGCGTAGGGGTCTTTAGCAGTGGTAGGAAACCGGAGGACCCGGAGAAAACCCACGAGACTGGAGAGGCGACCCTACTCCTTGTCACGTACAACCGGGGATTCGAAACCAGTTATAGTTTATTGATCTACCCGGTTACTAAATGCCTCTCAAGGAATAGTACTGTTTTAGATTAATATCCTTTCATAATTAGTTGTTCATCTTTTTTAGTAATATTTTTTGCAAGGAATGCAAAATCCTTCAAACGGTGGTCAACGACTTTAGATCAGAACTTTAAAATACTATTTTGGACTGTGTTCCCTGTACAGTAGAATCTGTACGAGCAGCCACTCACTCCTATTTAGCTATATTTGTATCCCTCTTATTAAAAGCTATCAGTACAAAGCATCTAACATTTTTGATACACCCTTCATTATTCATTAATATAAGTTGAATTGAGTCAGTTATATGAGGGTTGATAAATGGAGGGAGATGTATTTGTCACAAATATGTATGGGTTTGTTGTTTTTTTCAGTATTTGTATGATTTCCTTGAAGCTGTTATAACACGACAGACATCACCAGAAGAAGCTTATAGAAAGTTAGATGATATGGCATCAAAACAAACAGAGACATTGAGAAAACTGACAAAACAGGTTAGAATTTTCCTGTACATGTAATATAAGATAATCCCAACCCAACGATGCATTATTCAAGAGCTAAATCTGCCTATTGCAGGTCTTTCTTTAGGTCTTAAATGTTATATAAATTATTAATTAGACATTAATTAACTTACCATAATCTAGGTCATCGGATGGCTCCAATTTGAAGTAGAATGGTTCGGCCATTTAGTGGTTTAATTTAAAAATGGAGAAGCGAGGTTAAGTTCTGAATAACCAGTACTGTGGTTGCGCTAATGAACAATCAATGCACATTATTTTTTTGTCTTGAATTCTAGTTTTTTATTGTAGGTACAAGAAGCCAGACAGAATCATGATGATGATGCTGTGAAGAAAACTGTTAATGATTATGATGATGCTTTAGAAAGGTCAGTTTACTGTGTTAACAATTGTGTTTGTTTCATACGTTATTAACCAGTTTATCACTGAGTGATGAAGACTGTTTTGTTATCTGGGGCTGATATAGTCAAGTGAAGGGAAACTGACTTTCAGTTAGAATATCCTGGTCTAATCCTGGCATGGGTTTAGAAAAACCCAGGCCACGATTTCACGAAACAATCTCAGATTTAAGTTAAGAATTTACTCAAAATTGTTTGCCTTGTTTTAACTAAAATATAAAACTTTTGTTGTTTTAATGTATCAAATACATCAATAAAAAACTGTGTTTCTGGATCAAAGATATTTCTCATAAACAGTGATTGTAAGTTGAGTAAATTCTTAACTTAAATGTAAGTCTGAGAATGGTTTTTGAACTCATGACCTGGTTTGGGTCGAGTGGACGTTAAACTCCATTTCTCTCTCTTTCTCCCTTTCTTATCTTATCCCATCAAAGTTTGTTAACTAATGTTGTGACTTGTTTTATATCTAAACTATAAACAAATCATTTCTCTTATCAAGCCTTATTACGAATAAATCTTTTTAACCCCCCCCCCCCAAAAAAAAAACCACAAATAAAATCTATTCTTATTTATTTATTTACTACTTTGTTTATTCCATGCAACATTTAAATACTCTAACTTGATAAAGATACCTGTTCTAGTATTGAAACGTTGCATGTAATAAACTAAGAAGTAGTAAATCCATAAAGTTGTGTTTTTATGAATATTATACCTCTACTTCTAAATGTTATTCAAGGATAAAACCTATTATATTTTCAGATATATACCTATATTAATGCAGCAAGCTAAGATATATTGGGATATGGATAATTATCTACAAGTAGAGAAGATATTCCGTAAATCTGTAGAATTCTGTAATGAACATGATGCATGGAAACTAAACGTAGCTCATGTTCTGTTCATGCAAGAAAATAAATATAAAGAAGCTACTGGATTTTATGAACCAATTGTGAAAAAGAATTATGACAATGTAAGTTGATTGTTCGTTATAGACTAACCAGGATTTTTCTGTAGATTTCCAATGTCATTGGTGCGAGACGGAGGGCCTGACAAGGACAGTGCCTGTTCGTTCGGATGGGACAAAAAATTGAGGTCCCTTGTACACATTGGCGTGCAGGTAAAAGTAACCTTGATAGTTGTAATTCAAAAATCAGAGTAGGCCATAGTCAGGGCTGTCGGTAATTTTTCACAGTTGATTAGCAGCACTGCTAATCAAAAAGTCCAATTTTGCCAAATTTGATTAGCAAATTTAAAAATTGATTAGCAGTTTTTCAGTTTCAATGTAAATAATTAGATATTACTTTAATTCATAACAAATATGATTAGATTCCATTCTGACTATTCTTAGATTTTTTTAGCACTGCCACAAGTACTTGTGACAGTTTGTAAATGTGATGTAGACATTTAGTTAGGTCTTATGTCTGAAGCCAATTCTTGACAGTGACTTCCGAAGCCCCACTCATTTTAATTGTTATTTTTTTGTTACGTTAGAAATCTTCGTTAGAAAACGATCTCGTCTGCTTTTTATCGTGTATTACTATTTTTGTTCAATCGGGCGCACCTCGATTAACTAGACACACGCGATATAAACAATAATATTTTACGGGAATTTTTACTTTGATTTATCATTTTACAATACGTTAACATGTATTTATTTTTTTATATTTTATTTACAATACGTGCGATACACTGGAGTTATTTATTTCAAAATGAATATGATATAATTACTTGATGTCTCGCAACGTGAGTGCGACTACTTGATTCCCTATTTCCGGTTTAATAGTCCCTATTCATAGAGTTATGTCCCTGTGTTATATAGTATTGTGTCTGGGTAGTTCGAGAAGAAAATGTCACACGGAGAATTCAGTTTTGTTTATAAAATTTTATTCAACATTTTATACACGTTGAAAGTGTTGAGTAAGCCTTCTAGTCTTCAAAATGTGGATTATTCTTGTGACAATATCCAAAATGACAGGCACATTAATGATTCGCAGTAACTGCGAATCAAAAACGTCAGATTTTAATTTTTGGTTAGCAACGGACGAAATATGTATCGCAAATTGCGCTGCGATACTGGTTGTCGGCAGCCCTGGCCATAGTAGGCCCTCATGGAATAGTGTATGGTGTAAGCCCGTATTCATTAGGCCAGTCAGTGCAGAACAGTAGGATGTTAAACCCCATTTCATTTCATTTATATAAATGATTGAGAGTCCTGCTTCTGTATGTGATAATAATAATACGTATGAACGATAGGTCTGTCACTTTTGCCAACTGATCAAGTTTGATGTATTTTGTTCACATCAGATTAGCAACATATTTTCAATAGAATGGCAATTTTTAGTATTTTACCCAACTACTTTTATATATTTTGACACAAATTTATCTCTCTTTATTGTGTTGGGGGTTGGATGGTCGAATGGTTAACGCGTTTGATCATAAGGTCTGTCATTGAGTCAAGTGGTGTGGTTTCGATTCCCTGATTGTAAGAAGGCAAGGAGTAGGGTCACCTGTTCAACCTCGTGGTTTTTCTCCGGGTCCCTGGTATCCACCCACTGCTAAAGACCCCTACACACTAGCGGATTATTGAAATAAAATTTAACCATATGTTAGTCCCAAAATGACCTAGTTTATCTCCAGTGGAAATTAAACTGTCTCTTTTGTCTTAAAATTTAACTGAAATTGCTTGCAACCAATCGGATAATTTACATGTGGTAGAACTAGCATATTTTCAAAAACCCATTTTGTGATTAAATAAAGTTTTATTTAATTTGTATATTTTGTTTTTTTCAGTTATTAAATGTTAGTGCTATAGTATTAGCTAACCTGTGCGTATCGTATATTATGACCAGTCAGAATGAAGAGGTAAGATTAATAATTAATCTATACAATTCTGTCACCCTATATGGCCAAACATTTATTTCGTTAGCTAGATTTATAAATGGTTTCAGTGCTTTAGATATTGTCTGTTCATATGGTTTGTCAATAATCAGGTCTCCGTCAATCAAGCCTTCAGCTGTCATTTATATCGCCCTATATGGCCAAATATTAATTTCGATGGCTAGATTGATTTTAGATGTTGTTTATATTGGTTCTTAACAAGTTAGTCATATTCCAATGTTTATATTCTGCTATATATAATCTCAGTCAGGTCTCTAGCTGATAATAAGGTCTGTCTTTGAGTCAAGTGGAGTGATTTCGATTCCCCTCTTGTACGTGTAAAGGTTAGGGGACGCCTGTCTAACCTCATGGGTTTTCTCCGGGTACAATGTCTTAATTCACTATTTTATTGTTAAATTTTTAAATATTGTGGGTGTTCTAATCCATTTAAATCTCGGCCATCGGACGATCTAGAGAGTTAATTATTGGCTTGTCATGTGAATGAATGTCTAAATAATAGTTTAAATAACATTTTAAACCCCCAAAAAGATCTGCAATAGGCATATTTACCTCTTCCATAATGCATCTGTAATGACAATATATAATAATTCAGGGTGAGGAATTGATGCGTAAAATAGAAAAAGAAGAAGAACAGTCAGCATATGAAGACCCTGATAAAAAAGCCTACCATCTGTGTATTGTCAATTTAGTTATTGGGTAAGGAACATCTCAGAATAATCTTTATAAATAGTAGTTCTGCAAATGGCTCAACCATACACATCAACCATATTCATTTCATTATTCTGAAACCCCATCCTAAGTCAAAAAGACATGATATAATAAGCAGTCCTGATCATATTTTTAATAGTATATCATTATATTTTCATGTTAAATGGGCATCTATACCTGAATATTGAGAATTTGTATAAATTATAGAGAGCCACGATGGTTTGACGAGTACAGGAGACCCCGGGTTCGATCCAATATTGGACGAGAAAGTTTCTCAGGATTTCCCATCCTGGTTTCCCCTTAGCGTCTGGTCGTTCTAATAGGATGAAAAAAGCAAGATCCTGATCCCTTGACAAATTGGAAATCGAAATAAGACTTAAGAGTAGGCCATGGTCCTGCTGTCCGAGAACAATATTCCTCGACAGATGGAAGTCGAAATAAGAGTAGGCCTGCTGCCTGCAAAAAAAATATTCCTCTACGCAAACTGCATGATGTATGTCCGTCCTTATTACACAGTTTGTGCAGAAAAGTAAGCCATTATCATTAACTCCATTTTATTTCTGTTTTATATTCCCATTATTTTTTTTACAGAACCTTATACTGTGCGAAAGGGAATTATGAATTTGGTATTTCTCGTGTTATGAAAAGCTTGGAACCTTTCAACAAAAAACTTGGTACAGATACATGGTTTTATGCTAAAAGATGCTTCCTGTCTCTGATAGAAAATATGTCAAAACACATGATCATGATCCGAGATACTGTGGTTCAAGAATGTATCGCTTTCCTAGAATGCTGTGAATGTGAGTAGATTTACTTTATTTTAATTTTTAGATTATTAATTAGACAATTTAACAGGGGATGGGGTGGTACCGAATGGTCTAACACAGTGGTCCCCAACCTTTTGTTGGTTGGGACCCCATTCCAGAAACCACCATTTTAATGTGACCCCCGAAGAAAAAATCGGATATAGAAAGAGTGGGAATGCCTGAAAACTAGTTTCACTTTCCAGATCAAAATGTTGTAATGAGAGACTGAAGAAACAAATCGTGGGCGTGAGAAAGGAAATGGGATTGGCTATGTGGCAAGAGGTGTATAGATCAGAGATTTATATGCTTTTCATGAAAACATAGCATTTTTCCAAAGTTTCAGAGTTGTCTGTCACGACCATACTAAAAGAGGTTTGGAATCCAGAGTCTAATGCATGAGCTTTAGATCATAAGGTCTGTCATTTAGTCAAGTGGCATGGTTTTGATTCCCTGCTTGTATGTGAGTACAGTTGCCTGGCCAACTACTTAAGACCCCTGTGGCTGTGTAAGCAAATTATTAAAATAAAATTAAACCATGTTAGACCCGAAATGACCTAGTTGTGTGGAGTGGATGGTTAAACCTCATCTCTCTCTCTCTCTCTCTCTCTCTCGCACTCTCAATGTGCAACATCTTTATTTTGAATCAAGTTTAGCTACACAATATTTCCAAGAGGTTAAAAAATGGCACATGTACTAATAGCACACTGTTGTGTCAAATTTTGCTAATTTCAATCAGTCTTTTTATTTTTTTATATTTTAACAATTGCTAGCTAATTGAATTTTGCTTTTTTGAAACAATTTAAATATATTTTTCAGTGTTTGGTAGAAATGTTAAAGCTATCATTGAACAACCTCTGGAAGAAGAACCAATGCATCCTGGGAGAAACACTGTTGCCTTTCAAGCACGGCTATTAAAGAGTCTATTGTTACAGTTGATTTAAGTGTCAATATCAAGATGTCAATCTGTCCTATTTATTATAATCTTATTCATTCATTCATTTGAGAAAACCTGTTTTTTCCGTCCTTTTATCAGTGGAGATACTCGATTGAACGTTCCGGAATTAAATTGTCTCAAATTACTTAAACATACATTATGCAAGAGCTAAATCTGCCAATTGCAGGTATTTCTTTGGGCCTTAAATGTTATCTAAATTATTAATTAGACATTTATTAACATGACAAGAACATAGTCAACTCTCTATGCCACCGGATAGCTCCAATTATAAGTAGATTAGAATGGTTCAGCCATTTAATGTTTTAATTGAGAAATGGAGAAGCCAGACTAAGACTTGACTGAACAGTACGGTGGTTACGATCAATGCACACATCTTGTCAAAACTACAACCATAGATAACTTTGCTCAAAATAAAGTATTCTGAAGGAAATTTTCAATATATTCATTTTGCATTATCTATTTTGCAAATATGGCAGAGAGAACGGTCAGCTCTATGCATGTATTTAAATCTTACATAATGCCCATTTAATCAGTTCCATGATCCGCAGTATTATCAATGACAATTGAGATTAGTAATAGTAATACCTGCAGTACAGTCAATATTTTTCGGAATTTTTATGTGATTTACCATATGTTGATGTCAGATTGGGAATTTTTCCAGTTAGACGTTTGTCGATACGGAACGAGTAAACACTAGATTTTCAGGAGACAAGGCATATGCAAACTGAACATGATATAATCTCAACCAGTCACTATAGCTGAAACATTTTGCTCACAAAATCTTTTTTCGGGACTGGAAGAACTGTGACGGCACTCATTTTCGTATCACTCAATAACAATTGCATCAGTTCCGAACATTCCGAACTGACAATCGAGCACCCCCCAATATTGGTTAATCTGTGATAATGTGTTTATTGTAAAATGACAAATCTTAATTAAAGTTATATACTAGAAAATTTTATTTGATGTTATGAATTGGAGATGATGATATAAAGATATTAGAGTAACGGACCTGCATCGACAGAGAAAGAAAATGTTGACATATTTCGGTTCATGATTCAATAGCGTCGTTAAACCCAACCACCCTGTTAGGCAGGTTATTTATTTGGACACATGAATGAAACATCAGGCCACCAGCAGCTAAGTCACCCAAGCTGTGTATAGATGTTATAATGTTTTGAAATGCATCTCTACATAAGCCCAGTAATTTGAAAATGACTGAAAATGAAATGGGGGGGTTTAACGTCCTAGTGTTCTGAGGGGGGTGGATGGTCGAATGGTTAGCACGTGCACTTATATCATAAGGTCTGTCATTGAGTCAACTGGTGTGGTTTTGATTCTCCGGTTGTTTTCTCCGGGTCCTCTGGTTTCCTCCCACTGCTAAAGACCACTATGCGCAAGTGAATTATTGAAATAAAATTGAACCATATGTTAGTCCGGAAATGATCTAGTTTGTGTCCAGTGGACGTTACTCTCCTCCCTCTCTCTCTCTCTCTCTCTCTCTCTCTCCCCCCTACTGTTCAGCTATGTGCAAAATTTTTGTCTGGGTTCATTAGCTGTTGAATTAGATCGGCAAGTAATATGTAAAAAAAAAAAAGCAAAGCAAAAACTCTGGTAAAGTGATTACAAGGAGTTGTATCCAGCAGCAGCAATATGTGACCACGACATGTAATGTTAAATTTAATTATGTTACTAGTCATGATAGTGGACATTAATGATGCTTTTATTTGTAGGTTTTATTTGGTGGTTTCTACTCATCAACTGACTGTCCAACAGCATGGGTTTTCTCCAGGTCCTCCCACTGCTAAAAAAAACCAACACGCAAGCAAATTATTGAAATAAAATTGAACTATGTGTTAGTCCTGAAATGACTTCTCTCTACTCAACAACAACTGGCTCCAAGTTCACAAAGCATTCTCAAACTTAAGTTAAGAATTTACTCAACTTTCAATCACTGTTTATGAGAAATATGTTTGCACATAGTTTCTTATTGATGTATTTGATATAAAAGTTTTTTAAAGGGCTATAATTTAGTTAAAATAAGGCGAACAATTTTGAGCAAATTCTTAACTTTAGTCTGAGAATGCTTTGTGAACTCGGGGCCTAGTCATTAATACAAAGTTACTAGCTACTTACAGGTTTTTTGCAATCCCCACACAGATATTTAACTTGCAATATTAAACACTCATAGATAGAATCCTCTGGTGTTAATAATATCCCCGATTAGAGAAGCCCAACTTTGTTTCTATTGATGAAAAATTGAAAGGTATCCCTATTAATGTTAAGAAAGGGAGATTAGATAAAGAGCTAGTAGTTCTCACTATAATAGTTAAACACTAGATAATGTAAAGGGAATGTGCTGAAAATTTCAGTTCAATTGATCCACCCTGAACCGATTATTTAGCAATTGAATTTTGGGCCTAGTCTCAATCATCATTACTAAAGTCCGTACGATAAAAAACATAGTCTCAATTATCCATTTTTTCGATTTAATCCGAAGCAGCAGACGGGGTTCTAATCCAGTAAATATTGCAGGCTAGTGATGCCATCGAGAGTTGATTATGGTCTGGATAAGTTAATTAATATCTAATTAATAATTTAGATAGGCCTAAAGAAAGACATGCAATTGGCAGATTTAACTCTTGCATAATATATGTTTAAACATGTATTACCGGATGTGTTTCTATTGAATGAGAAAAGAGGGTATCCTTTATTAGTCTAAAGAAAGTAGACATTTAAATCAGATTTATATCTGTTTATTATTTGTACAGGTTATTACAATACATGTAAAATATAGAACATATTATAAACTCAAAAAATATCACATCATACCCTATAAAATAATACTATTATAAATTCTTAATAAATACGAAGAAAAAAAAACAGTGATATAAATGACTGTAGAGCTTGTCAAGTAGAAACACACAATATATAGTATAGCCTATAAAATAAAACATCGTCCGAGCGGTCGACAAGGGTTGTTGCATATTTATTCTTTTGTTGGTAATTTGGGGCACTTACAAGACAATTTCATACAGATCAGATTATAATTTTTGTCGTTTGAGGGTTCACAAGGTTCTACAAACTGAAACAAGAAATTAACTCTTGAAATTAATGTTCAGAAATTGTTTAAATTCGACAAATTTAAATAATGCATATAAATTTTGTACAGATTGGATAACTTTTATCATTCGAATGTTCACATGGTTCAACAAAGTAAAACAAGAACCATAACCCTTGACGTAATTGACAGAAATTGTTGAAATTCAATATAATTCTTCGTTTCACTAATTTGAATGATGCATATAAATTTCATACAGATCGGATATTAACTTTTTGTTGTTAGAGCGTTCACCAGGTGAAACAAGGGCCATAACTCTAGAAGAAACTTGACTCAATGACAGACCTTGTGATTTCACATGCACACATCAAATCACTAGACCATTCCCCCCATCCCCTGAATTTCAAAAATCAAAAAATACAGTTAAATTTGTGGTTTATACTTGTAAAAACACTTAAAAAATATACAACAAATTTGGGTATTGCTAAAAGAAAACTATCATTTTCTTTGGACAAAATATTCCAAGAATTGACCAACTGCCAAAATTTTGAAGTGATAACTCTGATCCCTGACCTTCATTTATACAATTATTAAACATAAAACCTGTGTCAGTTTCATGAAAGATAATATATTCACTAACTACAGCTATATCTAGAAAAGAATTTTGACATGGGTAAAGGGAGGGAGTGAGGGGTATTTGTCAATTTCACTGAGATTCTCTTGCTTATTTGAAAGCATATTGCATAGAGTTTTAATAACTTTATTATACAAATTTGTTAAATCCACTTTTCCTATCAAATCTACTGAAAGTGTATACACATTCTTAAAATGAATTGTTCTTATCGACATTTGCTAAAAATTTGTCTTGTAAATAGCTTATTCTAAAACTCATCTCTGGTTTCATGGGCTGGGTTTGGTCTTTTCCAATTTCCTTCATTAAGGTCCACTGATCCATCATCCTTGATACGAACATCTCGTTTCTAAAATATAAAACATACATGTGGCAATATATAAGAATATATTTATAATGACCAGTGAAATGAAATGGGGTTTAAAATCCCAGTTTTCTGCTCCGAATGGACTAATAATAGATGGGCATGTGCCATACAATGCACTATGCATGAAATTTTGTAGGGACAGCGGTGCTACAGCCTACTCTTGTTTCGTATTCCAACTGTCAAGGGTTCTTTTACGCACATGCCAATGTATACACAGGACCTCAGTTTTTGTCCAATTCAAACAACTAGGCACTGTCCTTGCCAGGCCCTACGGGACTTTCTCAGCTGTCACTGGGAGTGATCACCGGACCTCCTGGTTAGTGAGCAATCGTCTTACTCACTGAATCCCCATGTCTCCCTATAATGACCAGAGATTATATTATTATTGGAAATATTCAAAGGGAGGGATTAAAAAATGAACCTTTAATGATCATCCCAGCAATCAGATAGCTTCCCACACTGATCAGCAGTGAATTTTCGCTAGGCCACTACAATCACTGATAAGGATGACATCGATGCGACTTTATGAGCCAGAAATATTAACTTTTTTCCTGCGACAAATTAAATTCTAAACATTTTTTTTTATGTATGGGAAAAAAAAATAAAGGTGTTTGACGTATATGTAGGTAAAAATTATTTCCTATTTAGTGTAAAATGGGTATTAAAATGACTAAAACGCAGCATCCCGCCCGAAGCAGTAATGTCTTAATGTAAACAATGCACACGCCATTCAGCCAATGATTGACGCGCGTGCTGTGACGGCACGTGTTAAGGCAGTCATCTTTGACAGATATATTACTCTAGACTCGTAATTCTCTGTGAAACAGATTGATAGCTTCCATGTAATACAAAAAAAAGCAACAATTTAGCAATAAATTTTAACATTAAAAACTACAGCAATATGTTGTTAAAGAGACAGTAGAACACACAGTTTTAGCATATGTATTAGAAACCAAATATTCATAAATGACAAACTTTATATCAATCTTAATTGGGGTCTAAAAGAGTTATTTCCCTTCTTATAAACTAAGCTGTATACAGAAATTGTTCAGTATGCAATAAACAGGGGAATCAAACAAGTTATAACTCCCTTTGATGTGTCTTATGCTTTAGAACTAAATTGAGACTTAACAGTCAGAAAATTGTATTAAATTGAAAATATATCAAAAAAGTCAAAGGGAGTTCAGGCTGGAGACTTTCAATGACTAGCAGTTTTGCAGTGTAAGACAATGTGTACTACTTGAAATTGTGCCAGATTCACAATTTCCAATGACGATGTTAAAGACTGAATACTGAATGATCCAGACTTCCATGTATCTTATAGTTTTAATCTACTTTCTATATAAGTTCTCACATTACCTTTAATTTTTCCATTTTGCTTCGACTAACTTTTGTACATGCAGATGAAAGTCCTTTACAGACTTGTTCTAACAATTCAGAAAAACCGTTTCTGTTAATTCTACTATAATGACTGACAAGAAATGGATCTAAAACATCATCATGTACTTCTGAAATATAGATACAATAATAATAAATGGGGTTTAAAATCCTACATTTCAGCACCGACTGGGCTAATGAAGACGGACATACGCCATATAGTGTGCTACACCTACAAGATAAATTTTGCCCAAATAGCAGCACTACAGCATATTCTTATTTCAAATTCCTTCTGTCATGGGTACTTTTACGTGCACACCAATCACAGGACCTTGTTTTTTTGTACCATCAGAACAACTAGACACTGTTCCATACCAGGCCTACCGTTCTGCAGTGGCCACTGACAACCACGGCGAAAAATCCTGAGAAGTCTGGTTATTCGGACAAAATAAGTGTATACAGGACCATGGTTTTTCCGTACCATCCAAACGACTAGAGGCTGTTGCTCGCTAGGACCCTCCGTCATGCACCACTAACAAGGGGAAACCACACCACAGAGAGAGAGAGAGAGAGACTGAGAGAGAGAGAGAGAGAGAGAGAGAGAGGGGGGTAACCTACACACAAACCCGGTCATAAACCACCCAATTAACTCATGACAGAGTTCATGATACAACGTGCACGCACTAACCATTTGGAGATCCAACCCCCTTCTCTAAATAAAAAGGCTATGAAAGGCACTACATGTCTAGAGAATATTCTGATGTCTGGATTACAAAAGTTTTTTCACATTATTAGAACACATTTGATAACTACAATAATTGGTTTTCTTACCTAACATATGACTACATGCTATACTCATATAATGAGGAGAATATTCTGATGATTTGAAGGTATTTTTTTCACAGATCATGCTCAATGCTTCCAGGACCCGGACATCATATGTATCACTATTACGAGGACTCAACATCTTGTCCAATGCTGAAATATAAAAAGAGACACTATAAATAAATTCAGACAGAAAACTCAAATGATTAAATTAACCTTAAATATTTCCCCAAAAACTTTTATTTTAAAACACAGATAGCTTCATTCAGATCATATTCCTGAAGCAATGGCCCGAGAAATCCCTCTCTGGCCATTGCTGGATTGACTTATGATACTTGAGCTTTTGAGGGAGTGTGTCTATTCTCCCTGTTCAATCAAATCTCTCCTAAGTACAGCAACATGACAACCCTTCGTTTAATCTGGGGTCTTCCCTAAAACTTTTAACAGTGAATTAAGGTATTAAAAACGGTGAAAGTATTGTTCGTTTCCAAACAGTATTGTTTACATTGTAGCTGTTTGATAGCCTTGTTTGTCATGCAATTAATTTTTCTGCAATATTCTGCTATGCACTGGTTATGACGTAATGTTATGTAAACAATGTGGAGTTCTGTTTAAACCCAAATAACATTGTTACGCAGTTAGGCATTGGTTGTTAATCAGACTATTGACCAGTCATAATTTGGAACAGAAATTAGCTTTCATTACGGCAATGCTTGAGTGGAATTAGTTCTAATCAAACGAAACACTGCGAGGAGTATGCATCCAGATGAAATTACAGACAACATAGCCTACCTTTAACAGTTTCCTCACATCCTGCACAGTAGAGTTCTGAAATATAAAAACCAAACAGCATTAGTAGGATAATAGAACAGGATATATCCGATCCATCTGTCAGCGACCAAGTAACTTTGCAAGAATATAGTTCCACAAACAAAAAATATTTGTTTGTCAGACTGTTTTTATCAACATTTGGAGGCATTTCATTTACCTTTGCAAATAAGTTTTTCTCTTGTATCTTCTTGAAAATGAATTTTACTTAAAGTATCGTAATGAATAACCTAATCACTATTACAACTTTTCTTTCAATTTTTAGCTTTGTAAATCATAACAGCTCAAGCAAGTTTGAAATTTAGGGGTGAGGTGCTACTGGTAGGGTGGTTTGCAAGTGGGACTGCAGACAAAAGTAGTGAGAAGAAGGAATATGAATTGTGTCTATCACTTACACTTAGTGATGCTTTGTAATTTTGTTGTGGACTAATCATTTAAATTGTAATAATTGGTACCAATACTTGTAACAATTTATTAGTATTTAGTACTAGAGAGAGAGAGAGAAATGGGGTTTCCGTCAACTCAACACAAACTGGGTCATTTCGAGACTAACACATGGTTCAATTTTTTATTTCAATAATCGCTTGCGTGTAGGGGTCTTTAGCAGTGGGAGGAAACCGGAGGAGCCAGATAAAAACCCACGATGTTGTACTGGCGACTCTACTCCTTGTCACGTACAACCAGGGAATCAAAACCAGGGAATCAAAACCACGCCAGTTGACTCACTGCACTATGCTAACCATTCGGCCATCGAACCCCCCGTATTTAGTACAAATCATCTAAATTATATCAATACTTTTTTGATTGAATACATTATGAATGGCATCTGATTTTATTCATCCTAGGCCCTTATTCACGAAAACTTAAACTAAGATACAATCGAAATTTTAAGAAATACTGCAATTCGATTGGCTGACCAGTAAAATCAATTTGCATATATCCAATTGATTTTACTGGTCAGCCAATCGAATTGCAGTATTTCTTAAAATTTCGATTGTATCTTAGTTTAAGTTTTCGTGAATAAGGGCCCTGATTTACACACTCAAGTCAGCTAAATCTATTTTTTGTTAAGGCCAGCTCAATTTTTGTCAAGGTCGCTGACATGTACATGTAATATTGTAAATAAGGTTAGGGCACGCGAGATTGTAGGTTAGGGTTAGGCCTTAGGGTAAGCATTGAGGCTAGGTCCAGGGTTAGGGTTAGGATTAGCGCTAGCCCTGTTTACATTTTGTGACCTTTGACGAAAAATTGCGCTGGCCTTATATCATTTAGCCTAGTCGTCAAGAATGAAGAACAAGAAATCGGGTAGAAAAATTAGAAGTAAGCTTTTCACCTTTCGATAAATTATCTGGAAGATTTAATTTACCATTCATCAAAGCTGAGACGATTTCAATAAATGAAATATAAAACACAATTTCGTGCGTCTTTAAATACATTTTATAAGATCATGGTCTCAACGAAAAACGTCTGCTATTCACTCGGGGTGAAACAGGTGCTCTATGGGAGATAACTCTGGTTGGGTTGCATCAATCTCATCCATATTACTAAAACTTCTGACCTGCCAGATATTACGAATTTTAGCTTTAAGCGCATTATGTGTTGATGGTTCATGCACTTGGCTCATGTACAGATAATCGTAACATGTACTATGTGTGAACAGAGACAACCGATAGTCAAAATCTGGCTCACATTGAATATTCAAGTTCTCGTGTCTTCCCTTGACATTAGCAGCAAAGTGTGATCCACTGCGGTCCAGTTTGCAGTGGCCTATGTTTGATTAACCAGTCCTTAGCAACGAAAAGATTGCACTCTTATTCTATGGTGCTTTGACTCATGAAGGAAATTTTTCCCGGACAACCTACTCTTCATCGAATTCCATCTGTCAAGGGTTATTAATGTGACGTGTAGCCTACACCGGACCTCCTTTTTTGTCCCATCCGAACGACTAGGGATAGACGTTGTTCCTTGCCAGACCCTTCGATTTCGTCAACGTGCTACTGACTGAAAAGGGGAAACCAGCGCCCTAACACTAACACACTGAGCCACCATGGCTCAATCATATCAGTTCCTCGGGATCTTCCGGCGTGATTACCCCTTATCAGTCATGAATGGCGTAGACAAAATAAATGGCCTACACCTCTGTGGTTAAACCCTGTTTGGGTGACTGAATGGTTTAACACTTGGTGGTAAGGCTGTTCAAGTCCAACCTCGTGGGTTTTCTACCAGGTCCTCCAGTTTCTTCCTCTCACAGCTAAAGTGCTTAAGTTTTTAGGGGGGGAGGGGATGGGAGCAAGCCCCATCCCTATTGGAGTCGCGTCATCATGTCGGTAATGCATACCCCCGAACACCCCCCAGAGCAAGTGACTGGCTATGCCACTGTTGCCTGACAACACTTGTTTAGATTTTTTTAATACAGCGTAATTTATCAAGAAAATCAGTATTCATGGTAATATTATATCTTCCAGCCTCCAGACGAAGGATAGGCCTACATTACTAAAACATGGGTCGTAACAGCAATACGTCTTTAATGATACAAGACATAATCCTAGTAGTACCGTACTCAATTTAAACAAGGTGGAGGGTGGGTGGGGGCATAATTTAAAGCGTGGGCTTTAGATCATAAGCTATATCATTGAGTCAAGTGGTGAGGTTCGATTCCCCACTTGTGCCTGACAAGAAGTATAGCATCCCTGTCAAACCTTATTGGTTTTCTCCGGCTCCTCCGGTTTCCTCCTACTGCTATGAAATTAAACCATATGCTCTCTCTCTCTCTCTCTCTCTCTCTCAATTTGGGCAAATTGTTTCATTATCTACATACTGTTTAAGGTAAACAAGTTTTGTAAACAGTATATGCCACCAGACAGTCAGTAACCACCCCTTTATAATCCTGGCTGTGCTATCTGTATCAAAGATTAATTACTTCAATGATCTGTCAACATTAATTCATTCATATTCCACAAATAAAACCCTCTTCTCTTGGATACGTGAAGAGATTTTGTTTTGCTTTGCGGGCAGTTCACGAGAGTGACGTTTTCAGACGACGGCTAACAACACGTTCTGGGATTAGCACCAAACCGTAACATCGTCTCACGACTACCTGTTACATAGCATGCTAACTAACACAATAAGTGATAATCCTCTCTCAATCAAAACCAGACTACAACAACCATTAAACAAATCCCCGACTGAGCCCATGGATAGACTATAAGCGTAGGATATACTTGTATATATCGGGGGGTAGGGATGGCCTAGTGGTCTAGAGTGTCGCACTTCGAGCTCCCGCTGACCGGTCACCTCTGGCTTGCGGTCGTGGTTCCGATCCCTGGTGTAAGCGTACATGTATGTGGCTTGGAGACAGGGGCGCCTTCTCAACCTAGTGGGTTTACTCCGGGCACTCCGGTTTCCTCCCACAGCAAAGACCCCTGCGCGTGCGCTGAGATAATAAGAAAATGAAAATAAGACAACCTGTCTGCGATATCACCCTCGGTGGAAGCGGACGTTAAACACTAAGAACAACAACTTGTATATATATATATCAATGACAGTCAGCCTCGATTCAACAATATAATTGAGAGCATCCACAACCATGTGTTGCATTACTAAATATATTAAAGATACATTATTTCTGATTAAGATAAAGAGCTGACTGTTCTTGCTATAATAGTTCAAAAATAGATAATACAAAATAAATATATTGAAAATTTCATTCAAATTACTTTATTCTGAGCAAAGATCTTGGCCTTTCAGGGGGTCACGGTGGGTAAGACGCTGGCTCGCTAGCCTGGAGGTCGGGTGTTCGATTCCAGATTTTCCTGGTCAGTGATGCAGGACGGGGGGCCTGACAAGGACAGTTTTCTAGTCGTTCGGATGGGACGAAAAAACCGAGGTCCCGTGTACACATTGGCGTGTAGGCCGTATAGTGCCGCTGTCCGGGCAAAAGATGTTAATTCTTAAAAAAATTGGTTGTCCTTAAGTCACTTAAAGTTTTATAAAAGTTAAAGGTGCATTAGGTAAGATTAGAAAAAGAGCTGACAGTTCTCGCTATAATAGTTAAATAATAGATAACGAAAGCAAAGTATGCTGAAAATTTCAGTCATACTTTGACTCTGAACCGAGATACGATGTTAGCCATTCAATTTATTTTAGCTAGTCCCACTCGTTATTACTAACATTGGTATGATAACAAAGTCTCGGTTATCCACCACAAAATGTATTCAAATCTGGTAAATATCGCAGGGGGGTGGGGGTCTTGTCGTTTAACGCGTTCTCGTGAAACCAAAAGTGGTGTGGTTTCGATTCCCCACTTTTATGAGAGACAAGGAGTAGGGTTGCCTTTCCAATCTCGTGGGTTTTCCCCGGGTCTTCTGGTTCCCTCACACTGCTATAGCCCCCTACGCGCAAGTGAATTATTGAATGAAATGAAATTGAACCATGTGTTAGTCCAAAAATGACCTAGTTTGTGTCAAGTGGGCGTTTAACTCCATTTCTCTCTATATATAATAATATTTGAGCCGAAATATAAATTTGAAATCGGCGGAAGGATTATTAATTTAATAAACGGGTACTATAAGCAAGTGCACATTGGCGCCCCTTTGCGCTTGAGGGCGACTGCCCCCCCCCCACCAACCCCACGCCATCGTCCCTACCATGTTACGTACCATGTTACGTCACTGGTTACCAATGCCTCGGGAATATGCAGCACGGAGGGTCTTAGTCGTACGGATGGGAAGAAACAGCGAGGTCCTGTATACACATGGGTGTGCACGTAAAAGATCCCTTGACAGTAGGAATTTTATATTCGATACAAGAGTAGGCCGTAGCGACGCTGTCCGGGCAAAATTCCCCTCAAAGCACACTGTATGGTGTAAGCTCGTCTTGATAATCCCAGTCGGGGAAGAATAGTAGGACGTTAAACCCTATTTCATTTAACAGAACACAATTTTGCTTGATAACGATAAGATGATACTTGTCGAAACGTCGTGCTTTTAGAATAAAACCAGTGATTTTTCCCATAAAAATTGTGTTCTGTTAATGTTTTTTTCTCAATCGCTAAATGCCACTTAAAGATTATGTTCAACCCCATTTCATTTCCTTCTCGTGCATAAATCTTTGAAGCGAATTTTTCAGTATTAAAAGAGTTTCAAATCCCGCTTGTCTGCTACTTATGCGTTAAATTAAAGCTATTTCATACATTTTCAAATCCCTACAATTATCTAAACAATACCCAGACTAGCCCTGCCCTTTTAATGTTGAATACCTCCGTCACTTAGGGATGTTTGAGTGACACCTATGAATTGCGGGCGGCGATTACGACACAGTAAATATATACATTAGACTTGTGTATCTATCTATTGACAAGAAGCAAGGTAAATGTTTTAGATATCCCTAAAACCTTGTGTCAATCTAAGAGGTGTGATAAGGCATGATTTGTACTTGTCATCCACGCGACCCCAGCCTTCGTCGACTGGAGACTGACAATATATATAACACTGGAGACTGACAATATAGTCGTAACATTGAAGACGCGTAAGGCCATACAAAAAAAATTATTTTGGTTCACAGACGATCCAAATGAAATGAAATGGGGTTTAACGGCCTACTGTTCTGCTCCGACTGGGCTAATGAAGACGGGCATACGCCATACAGTGGGCAATGAGGGAAATTTTGCCCGGGGGATCTTTTATGTGAACGCCAATGTATACACGGGACCTCGGTTTTTCGTGCCATCCGAACGACTAGACAGCTCTCCTTGTCGGACCCTCTGTCCTGTACCACTGACAAGGGGAAACCACGCCAATGCCAATGCAGGGATCGAACCCCCGACCTCCAAGTTAGCGTTAGCGAGCCAGCGTCTTACCCACTTAGTCACTTTGACTCCCCTCAGACGATCCATCCTAAAACTCCGATGCGGGAAGGAGGTGTGTGGGGGTGGGGGTGTATTTTTATGTTTTTGTTTTTCAAATGTTGACTACTGGGCTAAATGACTTCTTATAAACACATCGAGGCACTATATTTACCTCCTCGTGCTGTTTTAAAGAATGTATGATTATCCAGTATCATTTATGATTGCCAGTAACATTTTTCATGGTTGCGGACTTGATAAACTAACCTACGTAACGCTTCTGGTTTCATTCAAATGTACCTATAGGGTTGCTTCCTGTAAACCGGTGATAGAGGTGTGGGGAACTATTTACATGATGTAGTTTTTATTTTTTATTATTAAAGTTAAAAGGGTCATACAGCCCGTTTAGAGAACCAGGGGCCTGTTTCACGAAATTTTAACTAAGATAAAATCCAAATTTTAGTAATTTGATTTTATAATATTAGACTGATTGTACTGCTTATCTAATCAAAATAGAAGTATCTACTAAAATTTGGATTTTATCTTTAGTTAAAATTTCGTGAAACAGGACCCAGGATATTTATTTTGTATGGCCTAGCATATTTCTTTACGTAATGAGGAATTTACAGTAGG